TCCAACGAATGCAAAATCGTCAGGAAGGAAAACTCGACTTATTTTTATATAATAGATGAAATATTCGAATAAAATTTTGAAAATTAAAATTTGAAATAAAATTTGAAAAAAAATTTTTGGACATATAAGCACACGTCATAATTAATATAATAATTATTTGATATAAAAACTAAAAAACATAATTTAAATGTGTTTGACTGATATCAAAAAGAAATAACAATGTTTCGATTTAATTGAATTTTCTAAGTTTATTTTAGAAATAAACAGTTAAAAATTTTATCTAAAAATCTAAATCTTAATTTCGGTTGATTAGGTCAATTATTAAACATTTCGGAAAATCCATGCAACTTGCCTCTTTCTATTAGTTATACATTGTGCCTCACTCTCCATGTTTTCTAATAAAATTCATATAATTTCCTTCATAATAATTCATATAATTAATTTTCCGTGTGGTAAGTTATAGAAACCGTAAAAATGTCAAAAATGAAAATTTTTGCATATCTTTACGTTTCAACGGCTTCTGAACATTTTGGCATAGCTTAGACAAAAATGATGAATAAGTGTTGTGTGTGTGTAAGTATGTACGTATGTATGTTCGAATACAAATTTTCGTCCGCGATTTAGAGAGCACGGATAAACCGATTTGAATGATTCAAAAAACATTCGATTTGTGTTGAAATGTCTCCTTATCAATACGAATCGAATGTTTTTTGAATTATTCAAATCGCTTCATCCGTGTTCCCGAAATCGTCGACGAAAATTTGTATCCGAACACACATACACACACGCATACACATACACACACACACATACATTCATTTTTTCTAATTTTAAGGTATACCAAAATATTCAGGAACCCCTGAAATGTGAAGAATTGCAAAAATTTTCATTTTCGTTTTTTTGCGATTGCTGTAACTTGCCCTACGGGAAGTTAAAAAATAACTATAGTAGTCCCGTGCGAAGGCGGCTTTAGTTGCGTGAGAGCCTCTCCGAAGATACAAGAAAGAAAATACCAGCGAGCCGCTCGAGACGCACCGAACGCACTACACACTCTACAGGCGGCGCTGGGTGCGCTTAGGGGAGACCGGGGTCACCAATTTGTTGTAAAAAAATTTGATTAATTTTGAACTATATATTCGAATATATAGAATAAAGTATATTGTTTAAAAATACTACATATGTATAAATAGGCTACATAAATGAATTCATTTTATAAGTTATTATTGTAAGCATGAATTCAAACTACATTTCATATTGAATTGTAGTCTATTGATTACAATTTTTTGGTAAATCCAGGTTTTCATATATTGATTCCAATGGATCAATTTCGATAAGCAAACATCTTTCTTGAACTTTATTCAGCAGCCTAACTCTTTCTAAATACTTCCACATAACTCTGCAGTATCTGATGCTTCGTCTCCTATATTTTCCATATTACCACTTCCTTAACTTTGTAGCCTCCTTGGTGTCCCTTAAATGTCCAGTAGCCTTTGAATAAACATTAAATAAACAAGCCTTTGAACAAACATTGATAAACAAGATATACAGCCATTTTGAAAAACTTTTAAAAAAGTTGCTTCAAACTTTTGTCGCACATAAGCACTTTTTCCAATTTTGGTGCCAAACCATTCAGAATGATTTGAAGCCTAAAATTAGCAAGTCGAATTTGCTGGCGCAGACAAACTTCTTTACAAACTTAATAATTAATAAAATAAATCTATTTTATCTAATTTCTTATACCTAATCCAAAATTGAAACAATTTGGATTACTTGCATCATTTTGTTAATCGATTTTTTTTATATAGGCCTCTCCGTTGGATGAGTGGTTAGATGGAATTTCAGAATAAGAATCAGAGGTTGCAGATCCGATAAAAGCCTCGGCCAGCCAAATATCAAGCAACAGTGGCTTCGGTTTTTGTTCGAGAATATAGACAACAAAATGCTTTCAAATGAAAATAGCCAATTATTGGCATTGCTGCATCAGAAAAAGGTAAGTCATCAGTAATACAGAAATTGTAATAATTAAGTTATCACATAGAGATAGGACAAATGTTTAGATTGCCGTCTATAAAAAAGCTACGACTTTAACCACTGCTCTTAAATATCGTTACATAAAAACTATTTTTTTCCTATACATAGTAAAAGGCAGGTCCAAAAATAATATTTAATATACTATATCATTAAATACTAAAAAAAACATAATCAATACATCATCAAAAAGTGTTGGCCATCTATTGGTTGTCCATTTTTCCTTTCACCACCACCACCCATTAGTTCTATATTTTTTGTTGTACAATTTAGTATATTTCTTGTTAGCAATGAGAAATAGCTCTAAGAGTTCTATAAGCACTTCTTGTGATACATAAGAAAAGTATTTTAAATACACCTTACTTCTACATCTACTTATGATACATCCATTTAACTACTACTTTGACTACCTATTTCATATATTATTTTAGTCAACCTAGTGATTGTTTATTTTCTAATAGTAATGACTTCAACTTATTGTAGCAATACCCAGAAATGTTATTTTCACTTGGAACCATCTATATTGATCAAATGAAAATGGATATTTCTACAACTTTACATCAGGTTGTCCAAAACAAAAATTATATTTTTGTTAATCCAAAAATTGCCAAATTGCTAATTATTGAATCTAAAATTGTATCGATTTTTAATTTAATATCTTTAAAATGTATAGTATGTGTTTTACCCTTCCCACTCGGATGCTCTGCTTCGGTGACAAAATACGTAATAGTTCTGCAATTTGCGAGGTTCACCAGTATTAAAATTTGTGTTCGGCCCGTTTATATATATATTAATCAAAATAAAATGATTATTAAATTGATTCTACTTACCCCCGGTGTCCCCTAAACCAAGCACATGCATGCCACATATAAGTATATGCACTGTTGAATAAGGGATCATTCCTAATACCTGATCCACTACACCACCACTTCAGCCGCGCTTTTCAAGTTTTTTCGCTTGTTGCCATCTATTGTTCGATGTCATTTTATTAGGGCTTTGTAAATCACAAAAAATCTATTGTTGTTGCCAACCCTGCACTATAATATACATATACATATACATATATATGTATATATACAATCTATTATATAATTATTATATATTTATGTTGTTATTTTGTGAATGAAAACAGGGATTTGGAGGTTATGTATATTGAAAGGCAATTTGAAATCAATACTTCATGTCTGAAGGTTGGTAATTCGATATTTAATTGTTATAAGATTGGTTATTGTTAAAGCCGCCTCGCATTTCGTGAAAGGATATGTTGGTAGTTTAATTTAATTATTAACGGTTAAGCGCACTGTCTCGTATGCACAAGGTCGTGTGTTCGAACCTCCGCTGATGACCCGATATCATGCTGTAGTGATATCAATTTTCACTTGAAAATATAGATAAACAAGTGGGGCGCATGGCATCGTGCCTTAAGGCAAATTGCTAAACCTTCCTGTTATAAAAACTGTTATGTTTATTAACTGATAAAACTGTTTTTTGAATTATTAAAATCGAACACTACGTTCTCTTAAAAACTGAGTTACCGTTTGTGGAACTTTTTGCCCCGTATCTTCGAAACGGCTAGGCCTGCCTATGCCAAAAACTAATCAGCACGTCTCCTTTTCAACAGCAAAATTTGTATCTGCACACACACACATACACACACATACATCCATTTTTTCTAAGGTATGCCAAAATTTTTTAAGCCTAAATGTTCAGAAACCTCTAAAACGAAAAGATATGCAACTAGTGGGGTGCATGGCATCGTGCATTAAGGCAAATTGCTGGAACTTTCCGTACCGTAACGAAATGTTCGAGGAATATTGAATGTTTTGAAATAGATTATTATAAATATTGTAACATTGTCTAATATTTATAAGAATTATATAAACTGAATTGCAAAGTTGAAATTATTTGTTTAAAGTATTTTAGAACTGTAGTTAGAATTAAAATTAAAATCTGAATTATTTTCGATATACAAAAAATAATAATAAAAAAAAAAAACTTGAAACAATTTTTTTTTCCAAAATCAATTATTTTGTTAAAACAAACAGAAAGTTCTTTGATCCATTTAAATCGGACGCTTAGTTCTCTTACGAACTGCCACTTTTTGCACATTTAGCTCTGTATCTTTGAAATGGCTGGGCCTGCCTTTACCAAAAACTAATAACCACTTCTCCCAATCAATACTAATTGAATGTTTTTTAGATCATTGAAATGGGATGCTCCGTTCTCTCAAAAACTCGATTTCTATTTTCTGCACTCTTTGCTTTTTATCTCCGTAACTGCTGGACCTGCTTTTGCCAAAAAATCATCAGCTCATCTCCCTATCAATAGGAATCGAATGTTTTTTAAATCATTCAAATCGGTTGATCCGTGCGCCCGAAAACATGAACGAAAAAATGCGGATACACAAAACACACACACACACATCAATTTTTTCTGAGGTATGCCAAAATGTTCAGAAACCTTCAAAACGTTGAAAAATGCAAAAATTTTCAATTTGGATTGTTGGACGATTACAATAACTTATCTTATGGAAAGTTAAAAATATTCCGTACATTTAGACACTAAATGTGCGTCACATCATTTCCATCCTTCACTTTTCTACTTTAGTGTGAAACCGTCTTTACATCTACATTTTTACAAATAAACACTATTTGTAAAATAATTACATTTTACATTTCCATTTTCTTAAACAATAAAAATATTATCCCGTACGTTTCGACCCTAACACCTCCATCACCTCCATCCTTCAATTTCCTACTCCCAGTGTGAAACAACCTTTACATCCCCACCACAACCATCCTTTACTCTCGCATTGCATTTTTCCCAAATGCGTTGGTTTGTGCACATGCATCCCTCCTTCTCGCTCGCTCCAATGTCTTCGCATCTTTCCCTCTCTCTCCCTCGGCTCGAGTTTACACCGAAAACACGTTCAGTCAGATGTGGCATTCGGCATTTAGTTGCCCGTAGGCATTCGTCGTGTGAGGTGGTCGTGCGTCGTGTTTTTTAAAGAAATTTCGGTACGTGAAAAATATCGTTGATAGTAAATTATAATTGGTTGGTGGTAAATGGTATCATGTGATAGTGATGTTTGTTTGAAGAAATGTAAATGATACTGTTAGTGTGATAAATAGTTTTGTTATTGGTTGGTTATAGTTTGTACCGTTAAGTGTTTGTATTAAGTTGGTTTGTAATTTATTTTAAATTCAAAGGTACGCTATTATTAACCATACTTTTATTCACAATACCGGTATGGTCAATATTTGGCATTTTATATTTATATTTATATTTTATCAATTTACGAAATTCGAATTAAATACAGGTTTATTTGTCGAGATATATTTTAAAAATTATTTATTTTATTAGTGAGGTTTTAGTTCAGAATTTATTTTAAATTTAATATACTCGTAGAGTAATTAAAAGCCTTATCAGTGAGCACAAAATAATAAATAATTTCATTAATTAATATAAAATAACAATCGTCTAACAATAAGTCCTTTGACCTTGGCTGTATATTTTTTAACATTGACAATACAAGTATTGTGCGTGAACAATCAATTCGAATGATTTGTTGCAACAATAATTATTGTAACGACACTATTAATTGTGATTTTTATATTTTTACTAATTTTGAAAGTATTGTGTTTTTACTCGATTAATTGTGATGTTAACAATATTAGTATTGTGCCTAAACAATATTTATCAATTTCAATCCTTGATGTTTTATATTTAAATTACGGACAATATTTTAATGTTTCAATAATACTTTTACTGTTTGTGAACTATACTCTTTAGTTTAAATCTTTAATTTTATAAAATAACAATATTTTTTCAATATTTTTTTTCTAAATAAAATGAATAATTTCTATAAGTTACTAATGAATTATGATTTCACAATCCCTTTTGACTCAATATTCTTTAATCTTGACAATACAAGTATTGTGCGCGAACAATAATTTCGAATGTTTTTTTGAAACACTAATTAATTTACAACAATAACAACACTATCAATGTACTTTTTATATTTTTCATAATTTTGAAAGTATTGAATTGCACTACAACAATATTTATCAACCATTCATCCAATCCAAATCTAAAATTAAATATTTCATTAGTGAGGTTTTAGTTCAGAATTTATTTTAAATTTAAGATAGAGTAATAAAAAGCCCCATTAGTGAGCAAAAAATAATAAATAATTTCATTAATTAATATAAAATAACAATCGTCTAACAATAAGTCCTTTGACTTTGACTGTATATTTTTAACATTGACAATACATGTATTGTGCGTTAATAATCATTTCGAATGTTTTGCTGCAACAATAGTTATCGTAACGACACTATTAATGTGCTTTTTATAGTAATTACTACTAATTTTACTAATTTTAAAGGTATTGAATTTTTACTCAATTAATTGATAATATTAGTATTGTTTCTAAACAATATTTATCAATTTCGATCCTTGTTTTTATATTTGAATAACGAACAATGTTTTAATAATACTGTGCCTGAATTAATTATTGATTTTAATTCTTAATTTTATAAAATAATATTTTTTATTCAATAATTTTCTTTTAAATTATATCGAGACTGTTAAGTGACAATATTGTGAACAATACTACTATTCTTTATAGGATTTTTTACTATTATTGTTCCATAGTTAAAATTAGTTATTTAAGCTGATTTTAACTTTTTAACAATAAATAATTCTAATCGTGATAAAAATATTTCATTAGAGAGATTTTTATTCAGAATTTAACTTCAAGTTTGAGAATGAACAATGAATAACTCCAATTAGTCACATCAAAATGATTTTATTAATTAATAATAAATCAAATCATTTAAGTCCTTTGACCTTGACTATATATTTTCTAACATTGACAATACAAGTATTGTGCGTGAACAATCATTTCGAATGTTTCGTTTTAACAATAATTAATTTAACGTAACTTATAATGTGGTTTCTAAATTTTTAATAATTTTGAAAGTATTGAAGTTTAGACGATTAATTGTAAGGTTAACAATATTAGTATTCTAAACAATATTTATCAATTTCAATCCTTGTTTTTTATATTTAAATAGCTAACAATTTATATTATATTTAATACTATGCGTGAGCTTTAACTTGAATCTTCAATTTCAAAAAACAATAATTTTATTCTAAACTAGCAAACCCGACGAACTCCGTTTCGCCACCAGATGGTTTCGTGAGAAAGATGAAGAAATCTTTTGTTTGTTTTATATTGAAAAGGAAAAATTTGATTATATTATACAACAGTAGTGAATTTATTTCGATTACAAAAATGAAGTGTTTTTTAGTTGAACTTCTCTAAGTAAATGAAAGTGAATCCGCAAATTATCCGTTTTATTGAAGTGCTCTTTGGTAAACCACATTTTTTGTTTTTTGGTCTGACGTTAACACAAACAAAGCGGATGGTTTTCCAACTCGTGAACAGGCAAAGTATAACTGCCCATGTGAAAAACAATGATTTTCTATATAATCTATTTGAAATTTATCCCGCAAACACTAAGCGACTGGCCTTGAGACTTGTTAGTTGTCATTGCGAACGCAAGGTAAACTGGAAATTGCAATCGTTTGAAGTCAAACGGAAGACCAGCCGGAATCATTGGTATGTCACCAAATCGCTGTCAATTTTTGATTGAATGATGAAATTCAGTGCGTGTACATCATTATTCTTTGCGGCAAGAATTGCTCGTTGACTTAACCAAGCCTAATTCTGATAATTCTCACTAATGTCATTACTCGAATTTTTAATTACGGTGCGTGAAGCTCCAGCAATTTGCATTAGGGCACGATGCCATGCACAACTAATTTTCTTAGCTATAAACCTTGCGAAGCCCGAAACCTTTCCAACGAATGCAAAATTGACGAAATCGGTTCGTGCGTTCTGGAGTTATTTCGCCAGGAAGGAAAACCCGACTTATTTATATATATATAGAAGATAATCTATTTGAAATTATTTAAAACAATTATTGATTATTTTTATTACTCGAATTTTTAATTACGGTGCGTGAAGTTCCAGCAATTTGCATTAGGGCACGATGCCATGCACAACTAATTTTCTTAGCTATAAACCTTGCGGAGCCCGAGACCTTTACAACGAATGCAAAATTATCGAAATCGGTTCGTGCCTTCTGGAGTTATTTCGTCAGGAAGGAAAACCCGACTTATTTTTATATATATAGAAGATTATATACTTGACAATATTTTGAACAATACTACATACTTAAAAAATAAAATGAGTGATTTAATAAATTAGTAATAAATTATATAGAAAAACAATCTTCTTTGACTATATATTCTTTGATGTTGACAATACACGTATTGTGCGTGAACTACCTTTTTACGTATTGTTGTTGAAAATATTTATTGTTGAAACAATAATTAATTTACACTAATAACACTATTTATGTGCTTTTTATATTTTTGATAATTTTGAAAGTATTGAATTTTTAGACGGTTAATTATGTCTTCAAGAATATTAGTATTGTGCTTCAACAATATTTATCAATTTCAATCCTAGTTTTTCTAAATTTAAATAACGGACAATGTTCTGATAATACTATAATACTTTTACAGTGCGTGAACTATTCTTACTAATTTGAAGCTTTTATTTTATAAAACAATAATTTTTGTTCAATAATTTTATTCTAATTTATACAATTGACAATATTTTGAACAATACATACTACATACTTAAAAAATAAAATGAATAATTTAATGAGTTACTAATAAATTATATAACATATACATCCTCTTTGACTATATATTCTTTAACATTAACAATACAAGTATTGTCCGTGAACAATAATTTCGAATATTTTTTGAAACAATAATTAATTTAACAACACTATTAATGCGATTTTTATATTTTTTATAATTTTAAATTAAACGTCTAAAAATTGAATTTTTAGACGATTAATTGTGAGCCTAGCAATATTATTAATATTGTGCCTCTACAATATTTATCAATTTTGATACTTGTTTTTTAAATTTTAATAACGGGGCAATAATACTCTTGCCGCCAGAACTATGCTCATTAATTTAAATCCTCAATTTTATAAAATAATAAATTTTGTTCAATAATTTTATTCTAGATAGTTAATTGACTATATTTTCAGCAATACTACTATTGTATTTTTAAACTATTTTTAATTATTTAACAATTCGGTTAGTTTGCATGAATAATAATTAATAATTTCAAGTAAAATTTAGTTTTGTTTCTTTAAGAATGACAATATTTATAACAATATTTTTAATGCGTTTTATTATTTTTAATTGGAATTCTAGTAAAATAATTGAATGACAATATTTAAACATTGATACTTTTATTCTATTTTTATCAATTACAGTCATTTTTATTCAATGTTCATTCCTATTTAATAATTTAAATTTCAGTTTTAGTAGGGCAATTAATTGACAATAGTTTTGACAATATTGTTGTTCAAGAGCTTTATTTAGTTACTACATGTTTTTAACAATTTTGGTATTGTTCTTATCCTTACTTCTGATTTTTTATAATAATTTCTATTTTAAATAATTGATAAATCAATTTAACCACATTTTAAAATTACGTTTATTGAAAATGTTATTGAACATTATCCTCCGACAATACTTGTATTGTGTAAGTGCCTTACTCCTAAATTTTTTACAATAATTTCTATTCTAATTAATTAATAAATCCATTTAACAATATTTTAACAATACTTTTATCAACAATATTATTGAACATTATCTTGCGACAATAGTTGTATTGTGTAAATCCCTTACTTCTGATTTTTTTACAATAATTTCTAGTCTAATTAATTAATAAATCAATTTAACCATATTTCAACATTACGTTTATTGACAATATTATTGAACATTATCTTACGACAATACTTGTATTGTGTAAATCCCTTACTTCCGATTTTTTTACAATAATTTATATTCTAATTAATTGATAAATCAATTTAACCAGTATTTAACAGTATTGACAATTTTATTGAGCGTTATCATGCGACAATACTTGTATTGTGTAAATGCCTTACATCTGGTTTTTTATAATAATTTTTATTCCAATTAATTAATAAATCAATTTAACTATATTTTAACATTACGTTTATTATTATCGAACATAAATCTTGCGACAATACTTGTATTGTGTAAATTCCTTACTTCTGATATTTTTTACAGTAATTTCTATTCTAATTAATTAATAAATCAATTTAGCCATATTTTACATTACGTTTATTGACAATGTCATTGAACATTATCTTGCGACAATACTTGTACTGTATAAATCCCTTACTTCTGATTTTTTTACTATAATTTCTATTCTAATTCATTGATAAATCAATTTAACCACATTTTACCATTACGTTTATTGACAATATTATTAAACATTATCTTGCGACAATACTTGTATTGTGTAAATTCCTTACTTCTGATTTTTTGAATAATAATTTTTATTGTAATTAATTCATAAATCAATTTAACCATATTTTAACATTACGTTTATTGACAATATTATTGAACATTATCTTGCGACAATACTAGTATTGTTAAATAACATTATTTAAATATATAACAATAATGCACTGTTGTACATCACAAAATAATTAGCAATCCAATAATTTTAAATTCAAGCAGACAATAAGTTGACAATATTAGTAACAATAAAATGTATTAATATAATTGTGAATGGTCAATAATTTCAAAATGATCAAACACAAATTAAAATCATAAACAATTTAATAACATGAATTTATATTAAGATAATTTAATCACAATATCTTCAAGAATATTAATATTGTTCTATTTAACAATATTAATACAATGCGTAAACTATATTTATCAATTTTAATAATTGCATTTCTATAAAATAAAAACCCTTCTATAAAAAAGCGTAAAATAATTGTAGTTCATTCAATGACAATATTTTTAGTATTGTTTACCGGAACAGTGTTTATTATTATTTTAACAATACTATTATTAAGTACAATACTAAACTATTTTTCGCGCGTGACCAATATTTTAAAGATAAAATAATAATCAATAATTTTAATTTAAAATCAAATAAAATAAAACAAAATAATATTGCATATGAAACAGAATACTATTGTGCGCGAATAATAATTAACTTCCCGTAGGGCAAGTTATAGTAATCGCAAAAAAATCAAAAATGAAAATTTTTATATATCTTTACGTTTCAGAGGTTTCTGAACATTTTGGCATACCTTAGAAAAAATGGATGTATGTGTGTGTGTGTGTATGTATGTATGTGTGTGTATGTATGTGCGGATACAAATTTTCGTCGACGATTTCGGGAACACGGTTCAACCGATTTGAATAATTTAAAAAACATTCGATTTGTATTGATAAGGAGACGTGCTGATTAGTTTTTGGCAAAGGCAGGTCTAGCCGTTCCGAAGATATGGGGCAAAAAGTGCCAAAAACGGTACCTCAGCTTTTAAGAGAACGGAGCGTCCGATTTGAATAATTCAAAAAACATTTCACTTGTATTGACAAGATGAAGAATCGATAAAATTTTCATGAAGGTAGGTCTAGCGGTTTCGGAGATATAGAGGAAAAAGTAAAAAAATGGGCCATTTGGCGGTCAAAAATGATCATTAGACATATGCACATCAAATTATCAGATATTTTATAGAGATTTTAACAATAATTATACATTTTGTTAACATTCCTATGGGTTCCGTACCAATGCTCATGCGTTAGACAGCGACGCGGCGCTTACGCGCTTTATATTTTGTCCCTATGCAGTTAAAGCAGTACGATTGCTTTGAAAAGAAAGTTAAGATCTTCCACAATATGTCAAAATAAAGAAAAAAAAATTTTTTTTTCAAAAAAAAAAATTTTAAAAAAATTTTTAAAAAAAAATTTTTTTTTTTCAAAAAAAAAGTAATTTTTTGTCAAATTTATAGTTTCTCAAAAATCTCATTTTTTCAAAGTACATTTTTTTCAAAAATGTTAATCGTTTTTAAAAAAAAATAATAATTTTTGGTACGGGAAGTTCCAGCAATTTGCCTTAAGGCACGATGCCCTAATTGCCTTAAGACAGAATTCCACTTACAGCTAGTTTTATTGAATATTTTTAATATTTTACTCCTGACTATATTTTAACAATAATTTCAATTCCAGACAATTAACCGTGCAGCCGACAACATCTTAACAATACTTTTATCGTTTATTGAGTATTGTGGTAACTAATTACGTGTGAACAATAATTCTGAAACTTTTAGACAATTAATTGTGCGACTAACTGTACTGTTATTGTGCGCGGACAATAATTACTGTATTGTGTCTTATTGAAACAAAAAGTGTTGATGTGTTCTGCAACAAGTGACTAATTGTGATTGTGCAAGGATAGTGATTTTTGTAAGATTATTTAATGTAAGTTTGAAATAATTATATATATATATATATATATATATATATATATATATATATATGCACGTCTATTTGACCAGGTGCATGGTGCTTATGCCACATGTGCACCTGTAAATAAATAAGCACACATTTTTATGCGCATATTTACACATTTTTATATAATTTTTTATACTCAAATAAAAATGTATAAATATTTAAGATCTTATTAACTTTTATTACCCAAGGAGAGCCTTTAGGAACCCAATCGTTTTCTAGTAGTTCCAAATGGAGCATTGATAGATGGTTTGTTCTAGCAAAAACCACATTTAAGAAAATTTATAATGACGTTCTTGATAATCTACTTTCTGGAGCCCTATTCATTTTTTAATTTCCTGTTGGAGTCAATCGGTTGGTGACAGCGCCAGGGTGGTCAACAATTTATGCTAGAAAACAACCACATTTGGTAAATTTTTAATAACCTCCTCGAACCTCAATGGAGCATCTCCTCTGGAGTCTTCAATATTATTCACAATCATTTTTCCTGGTTCTTGTTCTCGTCTTTCTTCTTCCTTTATTGAATCCCAATAAAGACAAATAAATCTCTGCTGATAAACAACCTGAATTAGACCAACATACAAGTAACTACTATTTTAATAATAATTTTACACGTCTAAGTAGATTTTTGAAGACGTCCATCTTCAATTTTTCGGAACCCAATTGAGGCAACCTCCTGGAGTCCTTATCATCTTCTAGTTGGAGCTCTGCAAGCATCTTAACCATCGTGTTTTTGTTCTAGTTCATCATCATCATCTTCTGCTCTTTATTTTTTTCATAGGCTGGAAATTCATCAGTTGTCTGAAGACCTCCTCGACTTCAATTTATTGCAACCCGATTGAGCAACCCTCTGGAGTCCTTATCATCTTCCTGTTGGAGCTCTTCAATCATCTTAACTATCATGTTTTCGTTCCAATTCTTCAATAACATCATCTTCTTCTGCTCGTTCTTTTTTTCCAAACTGGAAATTCGTGAGTTGTTTGAAGACCACCTTGATCTTCAATTTATTGGAACCAAATTGAGCAACCTCCTGGAGACCTTACCATCTTATAGTTGGAGCTTTTCCATCAGTTTAATAATCGTGTTTTCGTTTTCATTTTCATTCTTGACCATCATTATCATTTTCGACTCGTTCTTCTTTTTTGTTTTTTCAGGCTGAAAATTTATCAGTTGTCTGAAGACCTCCTAGATTTTCAATTTTTAGAACTCAGTTGTGCAACTTCTTAGAGTGTTTATCATCTTCTAGTTGGAGCCTTTCAATTATCTTAACCATCGTGTTTTCATTGTCATTCTGCTCCATCATCATCATCTTGTGCTCGTTCTTCTTTTTCTCGATCTCCAATTATTGGATCTCAATTCAACGTGTTCGACCTTCAATTCATTGGAACACAATTGAACAAATCCCTGGAGTCCCCATCATCTTCTAGTTGGAGCCTTTCAATCATCTTAACCATCGTGTTTTCGTTCTCATTCTTCTTCATCATCATCAGCATCTTTTGCTCGCTCTTTTTTTTTGGTTTTCTAGACAGGGTAATTCATCAGTTGTCTGAAGACCTCCTTGATCTTATTATTGGAGCCTAATTGAGCAACCTCCCGGTGTCCTCATCATCTTCTAGCTGGAGCCTTTCAATCATCTTAATCACAATGTTGTTGTTTCGTTTATAATCATCATTATCTTCTGCTCGTTCTTCTTTTTTGTTTTTCCAGACTGGAAGTTCATCAGTTGTCTGAAGACCTCCTTGATGTTCAATTTATAGGAACCCAGCTAAGCAAACCCCTGACGTTCTTCTTGTAGTTGGAGTTCTTAAATCATCTTAACAATCATGTTTTCAGCACCATTATCATCATCTTCTGCTTCTTCTTCTTTTTTGTTTTTTCAAACTGGAAAGTCATCCAGTTGTCTGAAGACCTCCTTGATCTTCAATTTATTGGAACCGAATTGAGCAACCCCCTGGAGTCCTTACCATCTTCCACTTGGCACCTTTTAATCATCCTAACCATCATATTTTCGTTCTCATTCTTCACCATCATCATCTTCTGCTCGTTCTTCTTTTTCTTCTTTTTGTTTCTCCAGGTTGGCAATTCATCAGTTGTCGGGCGTGGGCTATTAGTCGGCCCTTTTAACTTGTCTAAATTTATAAATAAATGCAGATGTCGAGTGCGTTCCGAAGAAAGGATGTTGAAAAAATGTCGCACGTGCAAAATAATTCAGCACCGACGCTGCAAATGACTAATTATAATTTAGAGATTTATTTTTTCTGCTGCTACAGACATAATATACACTTATACATGATATATATATATATATATATATATATACTAGACGACCCGACAGACGTTGTCCTGTACCCACGTCTACAATTTTTTAATATCCTATACTAATATTTACCGTTTACCTAAAAATAGTAATTGTTTTTTAAATTACTCTTCACACCCCTCTCCCCTATTATTTTAACTGTTTTAACAGTTTATTATTAAAATTATTATCATTAATTAATATTTGGCTTTTGAATAATTTAACCTATTTATTTTGACCACTTTATGCGATTTATTTCATTGAACAAATCATAGAGAGCAAAAAAAATTTTAGCCTTTCATTACTAAACATAACCATAACATAACACTGGTACTTCATATTGGATTATTTTAATTTAATTTTATATTATCTAAGATATCCAAAATTGCATCTTAAACTTCTCCTAATGGATATCGTAAGGGCCGAATTGTATGTATTCATCTTCACCATCCCATTTGTTGTTTTAAAGTGAAATTTTTAACGTATTTTAAAAATATTGTGCAAAGATTAGTAAAAGATGCAAATAAATTATATATTTCTTGAATTATATTGAAAAAAAATATATATTAAAATTTTCTTATCCAAATCTTGTGTTGGCGCCCCCTAAAGCGTGCGCTCGCATTTTTCGCATGCGTCGCATTCAAGGTAGGACCGGCCCTGATTATTACTTAATTTCATGTTTTAAGTGAATTAATTTGTCAAATCCTGTTCATATGTGTATCATTCAATCTGCCATACATGTTCTGTAATCTGTATCTTATTTTAATTTCTGGCACATCTCAGCTGCTTTTCGGCAATAATAATGTAGACATTTCATTTTTCTTATTCATAATCATTAATTTATTATACATATTCTAATATTGTCTAGGCTCATAAGTAAATTAAAATTTTGGGCAGATGACAGTTTTCATTTGTTTTCAATGCCAAATAATGTCCCAAATATTTTTAATGTCAAATAATGGCATGTCGTTTTTTGCATTTTTTTCATTTATTTTTACAATATTACTATATTATTATAATCACATACATTCTAAAAAAATCCCTTAACAAACTTCAGAAAGATTTATCAAAATCCGAATAATCTTAGGCTCCGAATAGCTTAGGAGGAGTATATTTACATACATTATTACAGAAGAATTTTAAAGATAAAAATAAAAATTATAAAATTTGAAAAATAAAAATTTTAAAAATTTATATAATAAAAATCCTGATTGAAATTTGAATATGATGGATCAACAGTTGATTAAAATGTTTCTTTAAACTCATATTAATAAAAAAATTACATTTAATTAAACTTAAATGTTCTATGATGCTGTATTTGGGAATGGTTTTATTGGGCGCTTGCTTATAGCCTTTAAGATTTTCTTGTAATTTTTTCCAGACATATCTGATTTTTAATACCCATCCTTTTCACTATATATTTATTTCAAATTTGGGATCCAATACGTTTTCCCACCTAATACCCCACTTTACAATGGTGTCTACACTTTGAAACATGTCCCTATGTCGCTGGAAAATCGTCTTAACGGGGTTTTAATGTCGTAGTGCATATAGGTATAAGTTTTCTGATTGAATATATTCTTAGATTTATGGTTCCTGAACAAGAAAAGATCTGAGGAATTTGAATTTAGATTATAAAAAAATTGTAACGCGTTAAAAATGCCTTTTTGCAAAATTGTTCAAATTTCAAATTTTCTATTCTAAATTTTATTTCGTTTATAACTTTAATACAGTTTATAAATTTATAGGCCTCACACAACTACAATAGAAGTCCGTCAAGACAATAATGTTTGATACGATTTCTCGCATAATACGCCCTTGACCTAGGTCCTTGCTCTTCAAGACATATTTTTTATATCTCGCATAATACGCTTTCTCGCTAAAGATTTGCGTTTCACACATGAAACCTTACCTACAAAATGCACAATTTTATCATAAGTGCATCTTTTTGATGTCTCATTGATAACACATATATGAAGTTAGGCATTAGAGCTTTTAATCTCGAAAAATCTTTGGTTAGTTTTAATAGAGGTTGAAACGGTATTTGGTCCTTGTGGTTGCCAGTGCTTGAAGTGAATTTTGATTCTTATATAGTAGTATATATACGGAGCATCCTATTAGAATGATTTCAAAAACATTCAATTCGTAATGATGGTGGGAATTAGTTTTTGGCAAAGACATGGTCAGCCGTTTTGGAGATACGGAGCTAAATGTGCAAATAAATGACTGTTTTAAGTGAACGTAGCATCCGATTTGAATGTTTCAAAAAACTTTTTTCTTGTGTTGACGAAACGATTATTTTTGGGATTTTCTTTTATCTATGAATTTAAAAAAAATCTAAAAGATATTTTTTTTTACATATCTTTGGATTTTAATATTAATTTTAGTTTAAGTTCTAAAGCTCACATATATACTCGAAAGAAATAATTTTAACTTTACAATTCAATTTATATAATTCTTAAAAATATTAGACAATGTTACAGTATTTATTTATAATAATCTATTTGAAAACATTTAATATTCATCGAACATTTCGTTACGGTACGGGAAGTTCCAGCAATTTTTCTTAAGGCACGATGGCATACACCACTAGTTAAGTGAAATTAGGAGATATGTGCAAAATTTATTGTATACATTTTATCCAAAACTACTCCTGAACCAATTTTAAAAACCTAAAAACTCTTTTAACACTTTCGGGACGGCACCGATTTCAAAACAATCTACTTTACCGGCTGTAAACTTGATTTCATTGTGTATGTTATGCAATTTGTTTGATAAAAATTTGTGATCATTGAAAGGACATACATTTTTAATATTAATTTATTTTTGATCATTTTATAAAGAATGGTGACGTTCAAAACAATTTCCAAAATGCATAACTGGTTGATTTTGACATGTTTTACAATAAAATGTTGTTCGCCGCCTTCCTCCTGGTGCTTTTCTGTCAGAACATACAATACAATCCCTTTTTCTTTTAGAACTTAGAATATGCCACTGATTAGTCAGTATATTTGGCGGTACATTTTTTTGCTGCCATAATGGTTTATTTTTTCTATTATATTGTTCAATAATTCATTTGTAAAATATGAAGTAAAATAATCTATTGTCCACAGAGGTGGACTGCCGTCCCCAAAGTGTTAAATAAATTAAAACAGACAAAAGTAAGACTAAGAATATATTTCGACCTCGCCACCCGTCCTGGATAAATACACTGCAACAGAAAACTAAAACAATTTAAGAATCTTCTTGTAAGTATTTGAATACTATTTTAGTTTTTATAGCGGATTTAGTTTTAAAAAAAATAAAAATGACACGCGGCGCTCGTGAGGTTAGTTTATCTTAGGACTCGAGTAACAGATTATCCTTGCAAATGTTTTTGTTTACATTCTAAGTAAAAACACATTATTCATGATAAATATACATACATATACATACATACGTACATATACATACATATGTATATGTATACATATATCTATATAACCATATATATGTATAATTAGGGATCTGAAAACATATTTAGCGTTCAATAAAACGAAAGAAACATCAACTTCAAATAACTTTAGTTATAGCTACGTTTATGTATATACATGTATATGTATGTATACGTATGTATGTATACATATACATGTTTTGTATAGGCGGTTCATTTAAATTTGTACTCTTGCAATAAATTATTTTGCGCGCTTAAAAGATCCTGCGTATACGCTTATATATACATTTATGTATGTATGTATATATGTACATATGTATTTATGTATATACATATATGTATAAAGTTTAATGGATGTGCGTATTCGCATGTTTTCTTACAAAACATATGCGTTGACTAATTAGCTATTTGCGGGTATATAGAATTGCACTATACATATTTGCAGGGCCGGCTTTAACACTACCAGCGCCCTGGGCGAGATTTCTACGGCGCCCTTCACCTGCAATTCAAACCCATTTGGAAAAAAGAAAAACATCTAATGAAATAACCGTTTATTAAAAAAAAAATTATTATAAAAGATAACCATTAATAGAACCAACTAATAGAATTTTACTTTTCTGGCCTTTCTATCAGCAAACTCTTTTATAAGGTTGTCGAAGTCGATGTTTTCAGCAATTTCGTTCTCAATTGACACAGTTGCTAAGTTTGTCAATCTAGATTGCGAAATCGTTGATCGAAGATAGGTTTTTATTAGCTTCAGCTTTGAAAAGCTCCCCACTAGCAACCGTTACAGGTATGGTTAATAAAATTTGCAATGATATCCATACATTTGGATACAGTTCTTGTAAGTTGAAATCGTTGATAAAATTTATAACAAAAATGGGAGTAACCACATTTTTATTAGGTGGGATGCCAGACTTATAAGTTCATCATATAACATACAACCATCTATGTCTGATTTAGAGTCTACAGTTAATTTTAATTGGAGATCACTACAGAGCTTGAGAAGGTCGCGTTTTTCTGGAATCTGTTTAATATTGTACAAAAAAGACCAATATTCCGAGTACTCATTTAACTGTTCGAACCTTTCATTGATTGAAATTAATGTTGTCCAAAAGACAGTTGAAAAATTCAACCTCAAATTTTTTTTTTTGGAGAAGTTATAGCGTCATCGCGTGCAATTTCACCAGCTTGACGCTCAATTTCTAGTTCTTCAGCCAACTCCTTCGCAGTTAAAATAGCGCTTTTAAAGCCCGTATTTCTGTAGTCTTCCTAAAAAATTGCCGCATTTTTTCAACATTTGTGTACATTTACCAAGATCCATATCTTTGACTGTGGAGATTTACTTACAACATTTATTTGATGAAGTATGTCATACCAAACAACCAATGAAACTATGAAGCTGAAATCTTTTAGTTGTTCGGCTAGAATAGTAGCTTCATGAGACATTTGAACATCAGTTTTCTGAGTTTCAAGAGCCAAAGTAATCAAAGCATCATGGATAGTACTAATTTGATAACGGACTACTGTAACACTACTTATTCTTGCTTCCCAACGAGTGTCACTGTGCTTTTTTATAGTATATAGTCCCAAGTGATCGGTTAGAATTTTCCATCGATGAACAGAAGCTGAGTGGTCTGAAATATCACCCTTCATAGCTAATCGCAAGTGCTCCTGCATGGCTAGATGAAATTTGGCTAGTATTTGTACAAAGCCTAAGAATTTTCCGTTATTTGGCGTATATAGTTTGTCAGAAGTGCCTCTGAACGCCATATTGTTTTCGGCTAAATAAAGTGTGATATGCATCAATCTAGACAAAACATTATTCCATCGTTTTTTCTATTTTTAATCGTAGTTGAGCTTCAATCCATGAAAAAGTAAAACTTCTTATGAAAAGTGCTATTTTCATGATTTTTTAATATTTCAGACAAGTATTTCCAGTTGTTATACCCTTGAGATACTAAGTTCGACGTTGAGCTACTATCAAATAGTCTACAACAAAAACAATAAACTCGATCCTTAGAAACGGAGTAAATTAACCAACGGCGCTGAATTGTTTCATTGTTTGTAAGAATTTTTGTGAAATGAGAATTAGAGAAATGTCGGCCTGCATCATTCTTCGGATAATTATCAATGCGAGTTTGCACTGGGCCACTAGTAATTATGTGATCAATGATTTTGCCATTTCGAGTGACTGGCCAAGTGGCCAAGTTCGCTATCCCATGCGAATGAGCTGAGTTTGTTACGCTTCGCTACAATAACGCTAGCTTTTTTTTTACCAAAACGTTAAAAGGACAATGTGTTTTGACAATAGACAAAAAAAATGCTTAATTTAGGGAATTTACGAGACGACTAAGCAGACCTCGAACTATGAGCATCAGCCGGGGGGCGCCTGCAGCGCCCTTTTTTGCCGGCGCCCAGGGCGGTCGCCCACCTCGCCCTACCCTAAAGCCGGCACTGCATATTTGTATGTATGTATATATGTATATACATATGCATAAAAAAGGATTGTCTGTCGCCGATAGCTTATTGGTTGCTGGCGTATCTATAATGGCTAATGTGTATATATGTATACTATCGTGTAGGTGTATATATGTATACTATCAATTGTTGCGGTATTATCATTAAGGGGTTAATAGAGAAGTTAGGGGACGTTGGAAAAAAAATCACAAAATATCATGTGGGAGAGGGAGGGGTATAGTAAGATATCACGTGTATTTATTTTTTAACTGATTTTTTTAAAAAAGTTCAAACATTTAAAAAAAAATAAAAAAATTTACAGTTTTTTCACGTAACTAAAAATAAACGTGATGTTTGGGGAGAGGGGGAGGTAATTTTGAATATCACCAAATATCACCAAGGGGGAGGGGGGTCCAAAAATCCTTAAAAACTCGCTCACGTGATTAATGGACGCCCCCTTATGGTAAAACTCTGTTACGGTCCTATCTTCGTATGAATTGGTGAAAAGCTATGTATTTGCTGTTCGATCAGTCGTTTTACACATAAAACTAACTTCACGTATGCGTTATCAAAGTGACATCAGATACATGCAACTAAGATAAATTTGATATTTGACGCTAACGCTATTGTGCTTTAAGGCAAATTGCTGGAAATTCCTGCACCGTAATGAAATATTCGAGGAATATTAAATGATTTCAAATAGATTATTATAAATACTGCAACTTTTATTATTCTTATTTTATATACAAAATATAAGAGCTTATGAATTGGACGATGGCATTTATATGTGTATTGCAGAAAAGTAAATAAATAAAACTTAATCAAATGAAATTAGTAGCACCTTGTTTCTGAATTATATAATTATATTATCGGATATTAACCGGACCTCATGATCATTTTGGAATACTTTAGAAAGAAATTTACTTAAAGTAAAAATTAACGTTAGGGGCCGTTCAAGTATTACGTAAGCAATATAGGCGGGCGGGGGGGTTATTGATTTCCTATTTTGGGTGACATTTTGGTGACAGCTTTGCTTACATTTTTTGACAAAGGGGGGTGGGGGTAAATGATTGTACTAAATCTGCTTACGGAATACTTGAACGATCCCTTATAGACTAATCTAACTACTCTATTCAATTGTCAATTTCATGCTGACAACTTCAAGTGACGATAATATCGATTAGACACGTGTTGACACTATATATCGATCAATCTATCGATTAAAAGTGATAGATATTGATAAATCAATCATTTCTAAATTGTTCTGTATTCAAACTATTAAAACACTCAAATAAATTTAAACGATCTAACGTTTCTATTCATCATCTTATGGACCGATTCTGCCGCATAACAGAAAAATGTTATGGCAAGGCCATGTTACGCTAACTTGCATAAATTATGCTACTGAATCATACTCAATACTGTCAAAATGTCATGTATTTGCTGTGCATTCAGGCGTTTTACACATAAACTGCAACGTCACTCGTATGTTACGCAGCTGGGTCAGAAAGACCCTGTTATATAACATTGATTTTTTGACATTTGTGCGATTTCTAGGTTAGGTTTTCTATCTGTCAACCTAAGAAAAACGCCTGACTGCACAGAATTCCAACGAATTAGTATGGAAAGTTATTTATAACATAGCCTTGCCATAAAATTGGTCTGTTATGCGGCAGAATAGGTCCCTTAGACATCAAAACTCGAATGACGCAACTTTGTACAAAATTCGTACATTCTGAAGTTTGATATTTATAACTTAGGAAGTGCCAACATACAAATGTTTCATGAACCTATAAAGCTGATTATTAAACACCTTATACATTTCTTCTTCGAGGCTAAATTTAGTTTAGTCGTTTGTAGAGTCATTTTTTAAGCAAAAAAAATCAGGTAAAAAATAAATACACGCGATATCTTAGTATACCCCTTCCTTCCCCACGTGAAAAAATCAAAATTCTTAAAAATCTCATTTTTTTCAAAATTTTTTAAAAATTTAAATTTTGGTACGGAAAGTTCCTGCAATTTGTCTTAAGGCACGATGCCATACACCACCAGTTTGGAAATGTAATCAGCTCGTCAGTAGAATTCTTTTTGCCGTTAAAATATCTACTGAAACAAAAAGTTCAAAATTTTCAGAAAAAATCAAAGAATAAAAAAAATCTAAATAAATATATATATAAAAAAATTTTTTTAAAAAAGTTCAAAATTTTCAAAAATCTCATTTTTTGTTTTCTTTAGATGTTTTTTAAAAATTTTAATTTTTGATACGGGAAGTTCCAGCAATTTGCCTTAAGGCAAGATGCCATGTACCATTAGTTTTGTTCCATCTGATCCTTTATCACTAACTTCACTTGCATTCTAGTTCTATTACAACCAATGTTACCAACATGCGCAACGCACAAAACACTAAACAAATTTCAAAAACATAAAAATTCTTCCGTGTTATAAATGAATTAGTTTCCACTCGATTAGTTTGGATGCGGACTTGCACTTACATAACCCTTATTTAAGAGAGCAGCGATATCAATTACATCTGTATTAAGTTGTAATTGAATTTAATTATAATGGTTTAATCCTAATTAATCCTAATTAGGCCAATTAAACGAATTACACACGAATACGAATTGTCCTCTTTAGAACACACGTGGCCCCGAGAAATATATATTGATGAGAGGAATTTCTTTATGTTGGTACTTTGAGTTTATTGTTTTTACAAAAATTTCAAACTGCAAAATTGAACACAAACGTGTCCAGACCTCCTGATCGTTTAGGAATAATTTAGAAACGCATAGATGTAGTTTACAATGTTATTTACTCTAAACTCTTTACGTATCCAGACCTCCTGATCATCTTGGATTACTTTAGAAACGCATAGATGTAGTTTACAATGTTATTTACTCTGAATTCTTTACGTATCCATACTCCTGATCACCTTGGATTATTTGATAAATGAATCGATCTAGGTATGATATGCTTTGTTTATTATTTTGATTACTTTACGTATCCAGACTTTCTGATCATTTTAGAATACATTAGAAATGAACATATGCAGTTTATATGTTGTGCTACAAGGTTATTTATTTCGATCTCTTTGCGGATCCACACTTCCTGATCATATGAGAGTACTTTAGAAAAGAATAAGTTTTTTTTCCAAACTTTATTTTTCTATTATAAGTGAATAAGTATAGTTAATATGATGTGTTACAATGTTTTATATTTTGAATTCTTCACGAGTCCTGATCATTTTGGAAGAGAATTAGAAAAAAACAGAATTTTTCTAAAGTCGATTTTGTTTATTCTTGTCAAGAAACTCAAAATGTTGAAAAAATTTGAAACTGCTCCAAAGTATCTTTTTTCAACATTTTCAAAAATCTTCAAAATTTTTCAATTAAGGTTCGGGAAGTTTCAGCAATTTCAGTTTTGAATTGTTGCCATGGCAACTTCATCGTCTTGATAAATTAGGAAGAAATAGAAGTTTAAGGTTTATATAGTGTGCTACATTGTTATTCATTTCGAACTCTCTAGACCTCCTGGTCATTTAAAAACACTTCAGAAAAAATAAGGTAAAATTAATATGACGTGCTTTAACATTATTTATTTTTTATCTCTTTCCTCCTGATAATTCTGAAATAGATTAGAAAGTAATATATATAATTAATATGATCTACTACAGCATTATATTGATCACTTTACATATCCAGACCTCCTGATCATCTTCGATTACTTTCAAAAGCAATAGATATAGTTAATATAATATTTTACAGTGTTATGTATTTTGATCTCTCTCTCTCTCTCTCTCTCTCTGTATCCAGACCTTCTGATCGCCTTTAATTATTTTATAAATGAATCGATTTAATTATGATATGCTACTTTTATTATTTTGATCTCTTTACACGAGTTCAGACTTCCCAATCATTTTATACTACTTTAAAAATGGTACAAGTGTAAAAAATATGATATGCTACGGCATTATATAATTTAATCTTTTAACGAGTCCAGACCTCCTGATCATTTAAGAAGACTTTAGAAAGCAATCGGTATAGTTAATATGGCTTGCTATAACATTGTTTATTTTCTATCTCTTTCTTCCTCATATTCTTGAAATAGATTAGAAAGGTAATATGCTACAATGTTATTTACTTTGAGCTCTTTACATCTCCAGATCTCCTGATCATCTTCGATTAATTTCAAACGCAATAGATATAGATATCATAATATTCTACAGTGTTATGTATTTTGATCTCTCTCTCTCTCTGTGTATTCAGACCTCCTGATCATTTTCGACTATATTAGAAAGGTATTGGTGTGAAAAATAT